ATTCGACAGGGTCGGCAGCATCTGCCATTGTTTCAGATAAGGATGCCCTCCACTCTTCAGCATATCAAAAGATACTTTTCCCACGTCATTGCCACCCTCTTCGTGTCACAAGTGCCTTTGTCAGTTGCGGTGTCGCACTGCTCAGCTTTATGGCTGCCGCACCTCTTAACTTCCTGCCTCCTCTACAGATTTTCGAGGCGCCCCTTTCCATAGCTTTAGGGTGCAGCTGCCCCCCTTGCCCCCCTGCTTCCGCCGCCACTGACGCCGTAGAAGATCGGCTGGGTTACGTGAAAAATGGTAGAGGAATTGTCGAAAGAAAATTCATCGATCTATCATTTGAGACTAAGAACCATTGATTCCTTCAAAGGTTGACCGAGATATCGCTCGCCGAAAACAGGCCATTTAACATGTAAACCCTATGGGCTGGTAGGAAATGTACGCCGTGGAGCAGCAGTGCTACCAACTAACTTCGGCGGGGGCCGAGCGGGTCGGAGACCATCCAAGCCGGCACTAGATCCCGAGTTAAAGCCGTTTATTGCCGCCATGACATCCGCCTCTGTTGCGTCTGCTGGCTCCTCCAACTCATGATCCGGACAGGGAGGTAAGTCGAGATCAGTAGGTGCGGCAGGATGCTTAGCTTCGAGCGCTGTAACGTTACTAGCGGATGGAAGCACCATTTCCTCGCCAGAGGTCAGCAGCCGAAGCGCGCCCTTGATGTCTCCATCGGACAATTTTGCACAGACGCGTTTCCTTAGAGCCTCGCCAGCTTTCCGGTGTCGTGCTCCGGTGCCGCTGCATTGTGTGTGTGAAACTCGCAGCCTTCTACATTCGCCGGTCTGTGTCTGGCTGCCGGGTACGTCTTGAGTGACAGATTCAGACATATACTTAAACACTTGTTTGATTTTGCTGGTCAATGACCCCTCAGACACGGAATTAACCCGTACTGCTGGAACCGAGAGGGCCAGGAATGGGAAGCTGAGCAGCCTTGACCAAGCGGTTGCTGACTTCACGTTCAGTGCAGTTTCAATTAATCGCGACAGAGCGTCGGCGGTTGAAATCCTTGCTCCCTTAGGAATTCTTGGCCTTGGGATGACTTTGTGACTCGTCCTTAGCTTGGCGATGGTATCGGTGATATCCGGGTCCTCAAGACTGTCAGCATTGCTCACTGTCTGGCTGAAGATTGACTGAGACCTTGAGGGTACGAAACCGTCATCCGTCAGGCAGGTGGGACACCACCAGTGACTCACTGGTGGAGTGAGTGAGGGCAGATGCTTGCAGCCTAGTGAGACGAATACACGAAAGGTGATACCATAGGTTACACTTATTACATTGAATTGTGCGTTTCCTGCTGTTCTGCTTGGTGCACCGTTGACACACATTTTCAATACCTGGCTGGGGCCCGGGATTGGGCTCCACATCGCCGGACAGAAGCAAAAGCAAGTATGCAAGTATCTCTTGCACGCAAACTTCTGTGTTCTGGTTGCAGGTACCAAGCAAGGCCATATATAGGGTACCAAGACACGTACCTGTAGTGTATAGTGATGTGTCATCGGCATAAAAGAGTGAATCGTTATGAGTCTTGCCAGCTAGGTCATTTAAATAAATTAGTGCGAGTAATGGGCGTAAAACACTACCCTGCCGGCATCCTGCGTTGATGAGTAGCGGTCTAGAGGTACTGTTTTCCACACATACTTTAATACTTCGATCAGTTAAATAAGATTCAAGCCAGCTGTGGAGTGATCCGGTTATCCCGAAAAGAATTTTGCATTTATGTAAAAGTCCAACGTGCCAGATTTTGTCAAAATATTTGCTTATGTCTAAACAGGGCTGTCTCATCCCTATCTCCGTAACGTGTCGTGTGCGACCAATGACGTCACGGCATTGCGGCGTTCTGATTGGGCGGCAGCTCTGAATCGCCCGACTGGTGGTCCCCGCTCGACAAGCGCACGTGCGCCGACTAGACATTTGTAGTGGCATTGACGGCAGAAAAAGTGAGGTAATGCAGAGCTCTGAATATACTTGAATAGAGTCTAAGCCGTTAGTAATACGTAAAAACGTCAGAAAGGTTTCTTGTTCGTCTTGATTTGAGCTTTTATGTGATATAACTTTTACCTTAGTGTCGAGGTTGGCAGCTATGTGGGAGAGCCCTAAAGTTGGGTCATTTTCCATAGGATTGCATTACAGCCGTCCGACCCTTCGTACCAGTGACGTCACGGAAATCGCTGCTTCGGCCTAATGAGCATACCTTCTATATAGGGCCTTGATGTCTAAAAATATTGCAGTGAAGTCATTTCCAATGTCAAGTGATTTGTACAGATTGTGAGTTAGGTAAAACAGCTGGAGTTGAGTGCTATGGTTCGGTCTATACCCACTCTGTTTGTCGGTTAAAAGATTGTTTTCAGTAATGTGACTATAGATGTGGTTGAATATTATCTTTTCGAATATTTTGGAAATGCAGGGAAGGAGACTAATAGGCCGATAATTAGAGGGGTCAGAGGCAGATCCTTTTCTTTTGAAAATTGCGTGTACTTTTGCTTCCTTCCATGTTAAGGGGAATTTACCGAGACTTAGTGATTTATTAAATAATTTTGTTAAAGGGAGATAATGACCTTTTTCCACAAAATCTGAGTTAGGACCATTTTCTGACAAAACACAACAAGTTATAATGTAATTTAAACCATTTTACTCAATTCGGTACCTTGCCGCAAATATCTCAACTTGAAGTCACGTTAGCGGGGAGCGCTGAAAATGACCGTTGAATAAGTACTTACATCACTTTTTGGTACTTGCATGTAATTTTGTAAAATGAGCGTATTCCTTACATTTGATCTTCATCACATCTAGTTAGTTAATGGTCGTCTATAAAGCCTTCAAAAGATATTCATGGTTTGAGGGTGGTTTATGTCTAAATTTACATAACTATTTTTCCTGTTCATCATCTGACGCCATATGCTGCTATTTTAGTAGCAACGACTCAATTTTGAATCGGTCCCGCCGACTGCACAATAAAAGAAGATAGATACAACACTTTTGCGGCATCACTGAAAAACTTATGCAGTACTGTTATCAAAATTCTCATAACACCGTTCGACAAACCTGAAGTCTTTTTGAAATAAATATGCTTATATTTTTCGCTTCAGGCTCTGACGCCAAAATAATAAATTTCGTAGTCGCAATCGCAAGATTTGGCTGCGTTTCTGGCGCATGCCGTTCATTTGTGGCGCAAAATAATACTTGGAAACAAAGAAGAGTAGGCACTATGTACCCCCGAATTAGAATCTAATTAATTCTAAACCGAATTAACTCTAATTCAAATTAGAATCCTTACAACCAAGCAACGACAAGGCGATAACATAAACAAAAACCCAAGCGTCGCTGTTTGAAACAAAAGCGCCATATACTGCGACTTTTTTTAAAGAGAAGGACAACGCATTTCGGTGGGTGTTACAAGTACTGCAAGTACTGCTTCTTTTTTGCAAAAATAAAAACCTTTTTCACATACGAAAATGTGCTAGGAAATTTTCATATTTTATAGAAACTACAGTAGAAATAGTATAGATGTCGAGTAATTTTTATTTAAGAAAAAAGAAAGCTCATTATCTCCCTTTAAGGGCGAAACTATCAAAATTGCCGTAAGTCGTAATATTTTCGGCGGGAGATTGTCTGGGCCGCACGACTTATGGATGTCAAGAGAATTAAGAAGTTTTAAAACTTCTCGCTCCGTTATAACAATTTTGTCTAATTTTGGTACAATGTTGCTTGGTGGCTGTATATCGGGCGCCCCTCTGTTTCCTGTGTTGAGTCTCGACTGATTTGCAAAGTGGTCGTTAAGTAAGTTCGCTTTGGCATGTTCGTCGGTAACAGTTTCACCGTCTGGTTTGATCAGTGGAGGTACTGGTGAAGTAACTAACTATAGTTCGTTTTTCTTAAGTTCGACCCTCACTGTAATCGTCTCTTTGAACACAGCACGAGAATTGCTAGCTGAATTACTTAGAAAACTGGCTGGCGGACATTGATTTCACAGACGATTAATTTTACTCAAAATTATTTCTTCCTGGATCCTATTTCCCAGACTCCTAGCTCGTAGTTGCCTTTATATACAACCCCACAGGGATAGACATCTTGTCAGAAATTATAACTGAACTGATCAATAGGTCATACGGCGTTTAACAGAACGGTATATCATCGGTTTTTAAAACTTATTTGGAAAATGTTATTCATGTCTGCAGTACTGATGTGCGCTAACCAGTTTTCTTAGTAATTCAGCTAGCAATTCTCGTGCTATGTTCAAGAAGATGTTTACAGTGAGGGTCGAACTTAGAAAAAACGAACTATAATGCCTTTTGACTAGTGAAGTCTGAGTAATTAACAATTTTTTAGCATTGACATCGGTATACGGATGTCATTACACTTATTACATTACATGCCCCAATGTGCATTTGCTCTATTCATTCACCTCCTAAGCGTAGATGCCCGCTCATGCATCTTACGACCGTCAATTTTGACATTTTCCCATCTCCGCTTCCTTAGAACTGGTTTATTCCGGAGCAGTTGCGGCGCTGGCTTTTTGGAAGGAGCCCCGACGTGGGTGGGGGGCCAAAGTGCCAAATCTTGCACACCCTACGAAAATTTGAATCCGCAGTCCGTGCTTCGACAAAGTTCATTTTTTACCCATGTCTTGCTAGAAATGGCGATCCGCCCTGTGTGCGTTGGCCGGTCTCGCCCCGTATGGACGCCCCGGCGGGCCCGTCCATCTCTCTCTCTCTCTCTCTCTCTCTCTCTCTCTCTCTCTCTCTCTCTCTCTCTCTCTCTCTCTCTCTCTCTCTCTCTCTCTCTCTCTCTCTCTCTCTCTCTCTCTCTCTCTCTCTCTCTCTCTCTCTCTCTCCCTCTCCCTCTCTCTCCCTGCCTCTCCCTCTCTCTCTCCCTCTCCCTCTCTCTCTCTCTCTCTCTCTCTCTCTCTCTCTCTCTCTCTCTCTCTCCCTCTCCCTCTCTCGACTCACCGCACTCTCGGACGGCTTGTCGCCGGCCGAGGACAGCTGCGGATCCACCATGGCACGGACGGCTCTCCTGCACGTTCAGCTGCCGACAGCGATCGCTCAGGCAGATACCTAAAACCAAAACAACAACAACAACAGGTCGATCGGATGCTCGAGCAAGGCTCCGGTCATAAATCTGACGCTTCTGTGACATTCCGTATGTCAGCATCGGTGGAGAATTGTGCTGAACTGTGGGTGCTCGAGCTCTCCCATTTCAACGCGGGCTCCAGCCTTGCTTTGGAAACGCAACTGACAGCGGATGTCAAGGCCACCGCCTAAGGCGGCGGCGGATTTGCTGAGCCCAAGCACCCACATTTCGGCACAATTTTCCACCTATGCATATGGGGTGTGTTATAGTTTGCCGCCCTTGCGCGCCGTCCGTCTCGCCACCCCGCGGTTGTGTGTCTGGCGCCGCCACTGTGCTGTGCAGTGTGCACCGTCCGCGCTCACCGCCGCGGTGCACCTGGCGCCGCCGCTGTCCACTGTGCACTGTCACTTGACCGCCTGCGGCGGTAGGGTGAATTCCGTGGTGCCCGAGATGAATACAGCCAGTTGGAACCGAGGCACGTCGACTATTACAGGGTGTTCACTAAAAAATGGGACAATATTCTGTGCGCTGTCAGTTGAAAGTGCGTCTGGATAGATTACTGCTTTTTAGTGCACGTGGAAGATACAACATTTTTAACACATGACCGCGCTTGAATTCATTTTTGATCAGCCCCAGACAAAATGGACGGGTTAACAGGCAGACAGCGAAGGGAGCTCATTGGCACCTTTTATAAAGAGCACTGGTCCAAAGGGAAATCATTTACTTACAAACACTTCCAAAAGATGGGAATATCGAAAACAACACTGTATCGCGTCATGGAAAAGCTTGATACAGGGGACTCCCTTAGCAGGAAGCCGGGAAGTGGTCGAAAGGCGAAAAAATAACCCCAAAAGAGATCTTAAACCTACAAAGGTACAAGGCCCTAAATACAAGGTTGCACGGACTAATTTCTACTAAACCTACCAGAATAAAGTTTCACGGTTGAATATTTAAATAACTATTCAATCTAAACTTCTTTATTATTTTCCCGTTATCATTTATAAGCAATTTTATAAATTGACTTTCAATTTGCTTGCCTTTTACTGGCCAAATAACTTTCTAGTATTGGGTCAACATAGTGGTGTAGCAGTAGGAACCATATCTGGCAAAACCCCAATACCTACATACAGCAGAAAAGCAGCCACCAGGTGTCGCCACAGTCGCCACTTGGTCGCCACACAGATGTCGCGCGCGTCGCCAATCGCCACACTACCGATTTCCATAAGGACGCATATGTACGGAGATGTATAGGAAAGTCGCCCTTAAGGATTACGCTTACATCCTTTGCTTATGAGGTCGGTGGTTGGAAATTGGGAGGGGCTCAGCTATTTTCGACCACGGATATAGCTTTATCACATGATGAGGAACATGCTGATAAGCATTTTATGTGTCATAACAGCACACAAGTATTTTTAATCATTTTTCAAATATAGCCGTTCTGCCGTATCTTTCAGTGCAAGGTGCCGTCGGTCATCCCCGACGTTACGTCACGCCGGGGATTGCCAGATTTTCCTACTAGACTTCGACGCCCCCTGCAAAGGTACATGAAGGAACATATCGGCGCCTCACAGCGAAAGGCTGCACGGAAGTTCGGTGTAAGCCTCAGCTACATCAGCAAAGTACTTAGCACTAAGACGAAGTTGCGCTACAGACGTCGAAAGCGTGTTCCGGCGGCCACAGAGGACCAAAAAATAAAGCAGAAGACCAGGTGTGGCAAGCTTCGAAGGAGCGCTATGAAGCCCACCAACAAAACTCAAATTATCATGGACGATCAGGGGCGTCGCCGACGGGGGGGGGTCGGGGGGGTCGCGACCCCCCCACTCGTCAGAACCGGGGGGGTCGACCCCCCCCCCCACTTTTGGCGATGCTGAGTATGTTTTTTTTAGCTATCATGTCAGGGAAGTTGGCGTCAGCAACATCAACAAATACAACGTCAGATTCAGAATCGCTTCAAGAGCTCCCTAGTCCCTATTGCTTATAGGTCAATAAGATGTGGGCTAGAACATCAGCATGACAATATGATTCTAGTCCCCTTTTATCCCTCAAATGAGCGAGCGCGTCAAGTAACTACGAGGTACCTGGCTAGCCTCAGCCCTGCTACCCTCGGACCTGCCTGCATTGGGGAACTGGGGTCAATGGTGGATCCCTCTGGGGCTTTCCTAATAAGACGCGCAAAAAGGAGTATATTGCAACGAAACTTCTAGTGACCTCGAGTTAATGAATTTTACACCTATTTAAAAAAAAATCCCTGATTCGAATATGGATGACCTTGGTTAACTTTTTTGAGTTTTATTTGCTTCCACTTACAAGTGTGGTTTTTGGGGCTGATTTCGAGTTTAGCGCCCGTTTGAACCGTTTGAAGAAGTTTTGATAAATGGTGGTTATGTAACATGTTACGAAGCTATCGTTGGTGGTTGTCAGTCACCCACTCTAGATGGCCGGCAGGAAGCCTGCTGGTCGACCTGACCTGACCCGACCCGATCTACCCAAAATGCATGGAGTCATCATTTTTGTTCAAGACTAACATCAAACTCGTACTCGGGACCCCGATAACAGCTACACTGTAAACCAAATCTACAAGTTGGCTCCTTGTTACAAGTTTGGTTCCAATTCGCATAGGCGTCACCTTGTCGATACCTTGTCGATTCACCAACCCCAGGCTTGCTGGCCAACAAACTAACAGTTTGTCTACAAGTTTGGTTCCAATTCGCATAGGCGTCACCTTGTCGATACCTTGTCGATTCACCAACCCCAGGCTTGTTGGCCAACAAACTAACAGTTTGTCTACAAGTTTGGTTCCAATTCGCATAGGCGTCACCTTGTTGAGTACTAGTCTGGGCCTTGTGGACCTACCAACTTCTGGATAGGCATATTCGTTTCCTTGTCGGTTCACCAACCCCTGGTTTGTTGATGAACTAGCCTTTGACTGGGCATTGCTAGCTTGCAAATTGTCAACAAGTAAGTGTACTAACGCTCTGTTCGAACTTGTCAACAATCGCTTTGTTTGCGTTGATAACCTTAAGAACTTACGATTCGCGTTCGTTTTCAATTGCCACGATACTGATTCAGGAAATATTTTCTATACGGACAGGTTATTTTTTGGCTGGAAGTGGTGCACAAAACCATGACTGGCATCAGTTATTGCTCAAAGACTTGCGCTGACAAGAAACGAAATACTGATGGGTTATATAATCAATGAATGCATACACCACATCCATTCGGAAGTTTCTGGAATCATTAGCATTTATTACGGTCACGTAATTAATACTATTGACTGGTGACAATTCCGAGTGCATATTTTCGAATGGATGTGGTAAATGCATGAGGTAGTTATACCCAGTAGGTATTACCTATCGTGCACCGTCAGCATAAAAGTCTTTGAAGCAAGAACTGCTGCGTATGTGGAAGAACATGGTTTTGTGCACCGCATCAAGCAAGAAGTATAACATGCCCGTATGACGAATATTTCCTGAACATCGACCATAACAATCATGGCAGTTGCACGATCACGCAGATAATTCGAATAAATCATGATCGCCAACCAGATTAGCTTTTACAGCCCATATATGTCCATCAGTTAAGTTAAAAATACAAAGAGTTGAATTAAAGGCAAATAAATGTATTTATATATAAAAAACACCGACCGCAAGCAAAACATCTGCTCACATGTGCATGCACAGGTCTGGCCCACTTACATTGCGCGCGCAGGGAAAGGGAGGCGTCTCGAACGCGGGTATAGGCACGATTAGTGCGTCCCGCAGGCCAGAGGGGGCCTCACTCACAGCACGAACACCACAGTTCACAGATTTCACTTTTTACTGCACAAATGCTGGAACAGCCCTCGTCGCTGCTCCAGGCTGCACGGCGGCCGCGCGACAACTGCTGGTTCGAAACCGCCGCGCCGAGGCCCGCTAACGGCGGGCGGCGACCGCTGATTGGTCCGCCAAGTCTGACGTCATAGGCGCAGCTGACCATGTGTATGCTGACCAGCTGACCAATACAAGTTAGGCGCCGGTTAAATAACCATGCGGCAACAAGTTTCCAAAACTGGTTAAGAAACAAACGTTGAAACAAATGTAGAGTTTGTCTGGATACTGAGAAGTTGGTGTGCATAGTAACTATTGACTCGTAGTTGTCACCTGACAAGCAATGCACCAGACAACGGCTTGTTTAAAAAGCATCAGTTGGTAAGCATACCAAGAGATGATTGGTTATATTACACAAGATTTGTCAATTTGGTTTACAGTGTACGGCTCACTAAGTTCTAGCAGGCGGCCAGATTTTTCCTACTTTTGGGCGTTGACCTAAGATGACCCGGCCAAGACCTTGAAATTGGGCATCATTGGCTTTCTCTCATCACGGGCAGCATTCTCGCTCTTCCACGAAGCTCTACCTCGATAAGGGGCCGAAAGCATGCCTTAGCGTTACGTTGGTAAGCGTTTTACCTTAGCGACCCGTAAAATACGAATAAGCCTACAGCAACACAGAAAGCGTATTCGATAGCTTTTTTAAAGCTCTTTCGCCAACTTCGCCTCAGATATGACTTCGGGTCTATGGCTTGTGTACCATAGAGTCCAAACAGCTAAACGGACGGATTTTGCCCAAACATTTGTTATGTAACAACCTATGATTCAGTGAATGTGTATGATATTCATGTTATCACCATCGTTTTTGTTTCGTCGAAACACGTCGCATGGCTTACAATTTGAACTTGAATAGAAAACTTGACATCAGGTAAAGGTCATGACCTGACTAGAAAAGAACCTGCTGCATATGGATCGATCTGTGTTACTGAGCTGAACGGTGCTGTCATCGCTCTACAACGTCTCCATTAAAAGTTGTTGTCGAAAATGTGTTAGAGACCTTTGATGACCTTATCACTGACCTTTACAGTCACCACTGGTCATTAGCTGCACCTTGTCTCTAAAATGAACAAGGTGCCATGGCTACAAAAGTATCTAGCGTTTTTAGCATATTCTGTCAA